CCAGGAGAGGTGTCTCAGCTGGGCAAAGAACACACAATGAGTGAAACACTATCTCTGGGTGTGAACGTTGTGTGCGTGTATACACAAGACACAAAAGCTGGCAGACAAGCGATGATGTGAGGTACTGGCTTTTCTGTCAGAGAGGTCAGAGAATGAGGTGTTGCCGCCGACTTCAGACAGCCCCTTCAACACCTAAAGCATTCAAACTACCAAACTGTTGTATGGAGGAGGCGACTGGATCCAGACAGAGCACTTGCCAACACCCGAGCAACATGGCTGGAGCATCTCAGATGTGCTCTGACCTGTGCTGATGACAAAGGAGCCAGCACCACGTGGACTGGTAGAGCTTACGGCATGTTGCTGTAAGAAGTCCGCTGTCGTCGTGCAGATTGCTCCTGTAGGACAAATGGACTTGCATGGCTGAAGCGTGTGCTTGCATGGCCGATGAAAGCTGCCAGAACCCAAACACCATGCTACAAGACCAGTAGATGTCATATGTGGATGACGAGGACGATGAAGATGTTACATTTAAAGGCCGCACATAAGTTAATTGGCAGTGTCAGTTCATACTCTAACCAGTTAGTGTTGACTATGATATATGACGATGACTATAATATTGAATTGTATTGTTAAATTAATAAACACGTTACAGCTTAAACAGACTCAAACAAGAGGTGATGCACATATAATAAGTGTGTCAAATACTTCAGGCTGAGAACTATAACATTTCAATTGGTTGACGTAAAATGGTCACTATTTCATTCACTATCCATTCGCTGCCATGCGTTAGCCCTTCAAGATGAATAGTTTATATTTACTGGACTCCTTATATGGTCACCCTAGTGTAAATAAACATAAGCAAACTCATGTAGCAACTTTTATTAATATTTGGCAATCGTTACTGCGCAGTTTAAGGAAAAAATGCCCGCACGTGACTTTTGACCTTGTATGACCTCTTAAGTGACTCTTAAGTAGGTTAACATTTTTTATGGTAGCAATTCTAAGACGGACCCATTGGTACCAAACCATTAAAATTGGTTATTATTAGCAAAGATATGAGTTGTTATGTTATTTATACCCACATTTTTAACGGTGTCGCGTCACGCCACCCTTTATCTATAAAATGGCTTCTAGCACAAACTTGAGTACCACAATTTGAGACTACATACTACCTGGGGGTGTTCTAGGGGGTCTATTCGACCATCCTGTCAAGTCAAACCTTAGATGTAGTGATGGTTGAACGAAACGAAAATGTCAAGGTTCGTGCTCCTGGACTAAATCAATGCCAATGGAACACAGAACTTTGTCTAGAATCCAAACCTAAGCTCCTATCATTGTCATTTGAATAGAATCCGTTTTGTATAAAAAAATAAAATTTTCTTCTCAACTCTAATGTTTCAAAATTGATATCATTCTTAACAACTGGAACAGCTATACTTACTGACTCACTGCATGTTTTTTTTAAATTTTAAATAAGTTTAAAATGGTTTGACTTGGCTAGCTATGGAATACCTCTATTATCGCTGACCCACTCGGTCCAGTTAGTCAATGTTTACCTCTCAGGCAGATTCTAAATTACATCACTGCCACAAAAAATCTACCAGCAACAAGTCATTTGTCTCTTCAGAAAAACGCAGTGGCTGGAGGTACGCCAGCCGTATCTTAATGTCTCGCGGCTACGGGTACGGCAGTCCATTTGAGCATGCGTTGCTTTCCCACAAAATAATGCCGTTGGAAATTAATTCACGATTTAATTCACGATTAAGATTTCTTGATGAGCTAGAAAACACTCGGATTTGAAGTATGAAAAGGAACATTATTGTGCCAGCTAGCAACCAGTTGGTTGGGATTGATTGTCAGTTCAGATGCAAAATATTGAAAGCAAAAGGTTATACACCATATATAGATTAATTTGGGTACTATGACACGCGTATATAAGATAGCCGAGTTGGGTTAGGGTTAGGTTAGGGATAGGGATAGGGTGACTGTTTGTACTTGTGTGTGGGACTGCCGTACCCGTAGCCTCGATACAGCTGCAGCTTGGTTGTCCACCGGACAATGTCTCAGACTGGTTAGGTTGTTCGGCGCAAATTCTGGTTGTCTCGGACAACCGGACAACGCTTATTTCGAGCACTGTATATAACAATAGCAAATAAAGCAGGGCTCCACATTATTCAATGTTGCAACAGTTGACTTACGTAAATGGTGCCACGAGACGAGTGCATCGCATTCAGTGACGTACATGTCATTCTACGCTGGTGCCGCATCTATTTATGCAAGTAACCATTTTACAACAAAGTGTAGTACAGGGTGTCGCGAAAACCAAGTGGCATCTGACATCTCGAAATTCAATTGTTGCATATCTTTGTGAAAATATAAATATACAAGTTTTTTAATACATGTATGTTAGATTTACTGTAGACAATTTCTGTTACACAATCAATACCAGTAAGTATTCTATTGGTCGGAAAAATGGGAGACCGGTCGGGAAGATTGTTCAACCTCCAAACTTTAAATTATTTGATGGGTGTTAAGTGTTAACTTTACGTCTATAGACGGAATTCTGCCTTAACAAATAATCTGAGGGTGATGTTTTAAAACCCATTTTGTAATCATGAAATTGTTTGTAGTATATATGTTCTATCAATGAGGAAATGTTGCCCCCCCTTTGTTTTTTTAGGACACAAATTTAAGGTCATTGCAGCCAATGCTCCCTACCAAACCATCAAGACCCCCATAATTTTGTATCAAAGTTTTAATCTGTTAAAACGACCTTGTGTAAATGTTTTAGAGTGGATTTAATAGTTGAACACAACGGGGCATTACGTGTTTATAATTAATGCAGGGCAATCATGCCTGGGAAGTGGCGAGATCGCGAGGGGGGGTGTCCCTGGGGTTCTGGTGTGGGAATTAGCATGGAAAACACGTGGAAATTATTATAGCAGGTCTGCTTGGGTTAAAAATACTATTTATGTGCTTGTTATCTGCCGGGTGAGCTAATATCTGCACCTTTAATGCAGATAATTTCAGATTGTAGCTTCATAGCTAATTTCAGAGTTGAACTGAGCTGTGAAATTAATTAGGTACACAAGTGTGTTAGGTACCTGGGCGTAGTAAAGAACTTTTTGTTTCAGCAGTAACTTTTTGGATGACTATTGAAAGGGGCATGATGTGCGCTATACTGAGTGATATATGAAGAATTGAGATATGCGGGAGAATTTTTTGCTGAACTCTTGCAGAGTCACTCGAGAGAGAAATTGTTCATTTTTTAGTTGCAACCTTGCTTGATATAGGATTGACAACTTGGACATTTTAGGTATCATTTTAGAAGGGCTTGAAATTAAACCGAGTGATTTCAGAGTGATTAATTTCATCAGAATTTTAGACATGTATAAAATTATTTTCGCATGAGAGAAATTTTGTATTAAACTGACTATTGCGAAATTTTTGCTCAGAAAAACTAAATATAGCTGAATATAGTCTCACCTGACAGCGGAAATATCACTGATTACACCAACATTAAAAACACTAGAAGGTTTTATGCAGTTATAGCATAGAAAAATGGATTTGACCACATCATACCAGCAATACATTTTATTGTATGTCGACTCTCAAAATCACAAATGGCGCCTTCAAACCAAGTGCATAATTAAAACAAAAGGGCGTGCAATTCTGTGTGGTAAATATTATTGAGTTTTTATGTCAATAATTCAGAGCACTTTCTGTCATTGTCATTCTTGTGTTACTATCTGACTGGTAATCCAGACTTTACGTGGCATTAGTACTACACTCCTGTTATGCTAGTATGAACGTCTGTGTTTACACTCTGATCTGATTTCTGGCATTACTGCGCCGTGATAGATGTCTCGCGCTACCGCGAGAAAGTCCGAGAGATGGCAACGGTAAACATAAAATTATAAACAGAACGCAAAATTGTAATCTTGCATGATTTGGTGAATACGAAGGTTCTAAGACATTTTATCGTTACTCTAGACAATTGCTGTTACTCAAGCAATAACGGTAGGTATCATGAAAGTGGGGAAAACACTGGAAAACTCTTTCAAAAGTTACTTTAAAATGATAGAATAGGGAAAATTATTTATGAAAGTTTTTTTCTATAACTTCAGATGATACACAGATGACATGATGACGAATTAAATGGTGTTTAACACTAAAACAATACTAACTGTTATAATGGAACATTGAGGGAATCCGATGTACAAAAATTTCAATATTATGTGTTGTTCAAATCAAACTTGTTCTACTTTATGTTTTGCATTGTTGCCAGTGATAATGACTTTTTTTTATGTTATTTCCATCCTTCCATGGAAATGCTCCTGTGAACCTATGGGCTATTTTCGCCTGTTGGTGTCCCTGTGCGTGCGTGAGTGCGTGCTTGCTTGTGTATGGTGTGAGGGGAGCTGGAGAGCAGGTCTTTCATGGTTGCGCCGTGCTCGTTGTCGTAACATGGTTGGTGACCGCATCCAATCGTTTCGCGGGTGCACTACATTGCAGGTCTTTATTCTTAGCACATGTAGCCGCTACATGTTCACCGTCTTTCCTGCGGGCAGGAGGAACCCACAAGGTATACAGGGCTGGACGTTCTCCTCGATTACTAATTATGCGTTTAGTGTGAGTTCGCAGATTCTCGATTAGTTCTCGCAAATTTCCATTTGGGGCCAACGCCGTGTTACAGGCGGTCAGTGTAAGGACGCTAGGAGCGTTCCCGTGCCGTGTTCGTGCTCTGTTACAGCCGCTGAATTTTTACAGCACCAGAACTCTAAAACATGGGGATGAGGACAGAGAATAAGGCTATCCCACTGGCACAAGACCTCACTTGGTTGGGACTCTACATGTACCTACACCTGGTAACCCGTAATATTTGACTGTGCTGAATTTTCTGAGTTTCTAGTCAATTTGCAATATTTGATTGGGGGCGCCTCTTCGCAGTTTGCCAGTCTGTTTCGCCGTGTTACCTTGGTCTTGTGTTGTTTTTGAAGGTGTTTGAGCGAGGCATCAAGGGCATTCACATGAGCGTCGATCTCTGGCTTCACTACATCAACTTCTACAAAGAGCGCCACTGCAACGATCATGACTTTGAAGAGCAGATGAGAAGGTAGGTTCCGCCGAGGTTACAAGTAAGCGTTGGTTGTGCCACTGTAACGTTCATGACTTTGAAGAGCAGATAAGAAGGTAGGTTCTGCCGAGGTTACAAGTAAACGTTGATTGTGCCACTGTAACATTCATGACTTTGAAGAGCAGATGAGAAGGTAGGTTCCGCTAAGGTTACAAGTAGACATTTGCGATGCTAGCATGTTTTTAAACGTTCTCTGATAGAGGTACAGCATCGCGGAATCGGGCAGAAAAGGATGATTGCCCCGTGGAGGAGGTACTATGCTAGCACCACCCACTCCTGTGGCTACAGAACCAACAAGGAACTCTACGGCGTGTGGTGTCTACGAAGCCATAATCGTTCTCGATTCTGCTGTTATTACTGTTGAATTAGCCTGAAGATGGCTGTCGACTGATCTAATTGATAGAATGGTTCTTTTATCGAAAGTGCGAGGACAAATCTGTTGTAAACCTACATCTAACACACGATAACTAGGTAGTTTGGAGACTCGCAGCAGCAGCTGAGGTCTAGATTCGTGCAGGTATGCTCGGCTGTGCCGTGTGCGTGCGCACGTCTAATTGGTGCTGTCGAGCAAAGATTCAGTTCTGTAAGTGGCAGTGAAAGGCGGGTTGTTGAATTATTTAAGTAGCGGGAATAGAAACGAGCAGTGGCAAAAGTGAGTGTTATAGTCGGGTCCCTTAGTGCAAAATATTGGCCGAATCATTACAGGAGTGACAAAAGTATCAAACTTGTCACAGTTGTAGCTTATGGCAGTACTATAAATATTACTATTAGAGGGGGTGCCCAATGCAGATATTCCTTAGAAGGGAATTTCAGATGATTAAATGTTCGAACCACACGACTCCGAACCCCCCTACCGCGCCCACCTGTACTGTGTATGCTCGCGCATTGTATGATTGTATACAGCTGGTAAACACCTCCCCCCCCACGCGCATACGCTATTACGCTATATTAGGCGGCAGGAAAGTGTATTATTTAGTTACATTTTACTCGAAAGGATGCCCTTCTACAACATGTCTATCGCTCAATCTTCCAAGCTGGAATCTGGACAACCAGTGAGCACTCGCAGCAGGCAGTACCATCTCCAGAGCAGTTTTCTTGGAAAAGAGAGGGCGGGACATGGGTCCCGAAATGGATTAGCATCACCTATGTTTCGAAGGCATGCAGTGAGCTCATCAAGTGTACTTGCAAAGGAGTATGCACCAGATGCAAGTGTGCTAAGGCGTCTGGAGTGTACACCGCTTTGTAGATGCAAATGTGTGAACAGTGTAAACAATTCCTGAACAGTCATATTTTAATTACCTTCGTCAGGAGCACAGTCTAATGACGTAAACAAAGTAAAATATTATCTTAATCGCGCGAGGATGAGGGAGAATAGCAGGACATGCTATTTTATTACAGAGTATGTATATTTCTAGAATTATAACCCAACTCGTTCGCTAGATATGAGAGTTAATACACTTTCCTGCCGCCTTTAGCCGTGCGTAATATTGACAGAGGTTATAGGTAAGACGTGTCTATAATATGTATCTATATTTCTAGAAATGTAACTCGATTCGTTCTCCAGATAGGAGATACACTTTCCTGTCGCCTATAGAGTAATAGCGTATGCGCGTGGGGTGGGGTTACCAGCTGTAGACAATGCGCCCGCACACACAGTACAGGCGGGCGCGGTAGAGGGTTTGGAGTCTGGTGGTTCGAACATTTAATCATCTGTAATTCACTTCCGCGCGCATATATTTGCTAATATATTGACTAATCGTGCGTCAATAAACTCAATATTCACAAAAATTATAGCTAAGACATGTGTCTATATAGGTATCTAGATTTCTAGAAATGTAACTCAATTCGTTCGCGAGATATGAGTGTTAATACACTTGCCTGCCGTATATTAGCCTATATTAGCGATATGGCGCGCATATATATTTGCTAATGGCCCTGTCACACATTGACGATTTAGACAGCGTATGCCGGACGTATCAAAATCTCTCTAAAACGCTGGCATACGCTGAACTATCGATGTTTTTTTCAATTTTGGTCGTATACATATCGTATTCATAACGAGTTGGACGTATACTTAACGTATTAGTAACGTATATAGAACGTTTCGATAACTTATACCAACGAATGCTTAGCGTGTGCCGCGTTCACACTTATCGCCCAAACGATAGTAACTATGCATAGCCGCGGTAGCGTATCGCCGACGGATACGTGTCGGCAGCGCTATTAAAAAGGCTGGCCGCTCAGACGATTCAAATTCATAAACCGCACACTAGACATCACAGTATCAAACATCCACTCGTCGCAGTATCACATGCCCATACCATTTTTAATATACAATTCCCTAAAGCGCCATTATACGGTACTGTAGTTAGAAACACATTCAGTAAGTTCTCCGTCGCTGATCGCGAACATACGTCAAATACCTTACGATACGTCAAATGCGTTGAGATATAGTTACACATAGGTTCAACAGCACGTTACTCATAAGTTAGAAAATAGACGTTTTGGGGTACGCACGAATCTATCGTCGACGTAATTGTCGACTGATGATTAACTTTACAGTAACGTGTCGTGAACATGTGTCAATCGATCGCATAACTTACCTACAACTTATGGCCGCGTACTTGCGCGACGTATGGGCATTACCGCTGGCGATAGTTCGGAGAAATTTTGAGCATCTCAAATTTTCGATCGACCTCGGCCGTACTAACCGTATACTCAGCCCGTGGTTTCAAGCAATGCTCTTAACTATATCAAACACTTACCATAATTATTCGACGTACGCCAGCGTATCACCCAAATTTTTGATACGTCCGGCATACGCTGGCTAAATCGTCAATGTGTGACAGGGCCATAATATATTGACTAATCGTGCGTCAATAAACTCAATATTCACAGAGATTATAGCTAAGACATGTGTCTATAGGTTTCTAGAAATGTAACCAATTCCTTCGCGAGAATATGAGAGTTAATACACTTACTTGCCTGCCGTCTATAGCCGTGCGTATATAGCCTATATGAGATACCGCGCATATATTTGCTAATATATTGACTAATCGTGTGTCAATAAACTCATATATTCACAGAGATTATAGCTAAGGCAGGTGTCTATATGTATGTAGATTTCTAGAAATGTAACTCAATTCACTCGCGAGATATGAGAGTTAAAGGCTCACAATGCGCATCCAAACGCTAATTTCTCCAGTACTAGACTAGCAAATACTTCGTATCATGCATAATCATACTACCTTAGGCAAAATAAACTCTAGTTCCTCCATTTCACTGTGCGGTTGTCTTATAAAAGCATTTTGAAATACCTCAAATGTTGTTGAAATCTCGATGTTGTTGACAGTTTCCCCAATCCCCAAGCAACCGTGCAGCGGTGCGGCGGTACAGCGTAGCGGGCGCAGCAAAGATAAAAACATGTGACGTCACGTCACCACTTCGAATCTATTTTGTTTGGAAACAGTCGGCGTTTGCGCCAGTTTTCTCACCTCTTTCTTGTGGGTTTTAAGCAAACGCGCAGTGAAATGGGAGCAACTAGAGTTTATTTTGTCATAAGGTAGTGTGATTATGCATGACACGAAGTATTTGCTAGTCTAGTACTGGAGAAATTAGCGTTTTGATGCGCATTGTGAACCTTTAATACATAGCGTAATAGCGTATGCACGTGGGGGGGGGGGGATTACCAGCTGTACACAATGCGCCAGTATAGGCGGGCGCGGTTCGAACATTTAATCATCTATAATTCACTTCTAAGGAATATCTACATTGGGCATCCCCTCTAATATTTATGGTACTGCCATAAGCTACACCTGTGCCAAGTTTGATGCTTTTGTCAGCTCTGTAACGATCATGATGCTAAGGGACCTGACTATTATCTTGAGGCAAGATAGCGTAAACACAAAGCAATTATCAAGACTAGAACTCTGTTTTATTCTAGGTCTCTCTCTCGTTCTGTCTCTCTGCGTGTCTATGTGGCTTTCTTCTTTTGTCTCCCTTTCCTCCCTCTGCCTCCTTTCTCCCTCTCGCTATCCATCTCTCCCTCCTTCTCCCCTCTCTCTCCTCCTCCCCCTTAACCAAAACTGCTCCCCTCCTCTCTACCAAAAGTGAGTATGTTTCCTCATGGATCATTTTGTTTGATTTCAGTTTGTTTGAGCGTGCGGTCACTATTGCTGGTGGAGAGTTCAAGTCGGACAGGCTTTGGGAGGCGTACTGCAACTGGGAGAGAGAGCAGAGCAACCTTAGGAACGTCACCGCGGTGTTCGACCGTCTGCTAGCGACTCGCATCCAGCACCACAGCGCTAATTTTAAGAAGTGTGTTGCGTTTCCTTTCTGACGCTGTCCAACTTTTCTCGATCCCCTCTTTGAATATGCGATGAAGTGGTTTTTGTGCAGGAGCAAGAGAGACGATTATACGCCAAATGTTGTATTGTTGGTATCCTTCAAACGGTCGGTCTGATACATTGTTGTTAGATAACACGGGTCACACAGGTTATTTGTCACGTGTCTTGTGTTACCTTTTCAGAAAAGAGTAGTACCTTTTTGTTATTTGTTATAGTATGCCATTTTGACACATTTGTTGTTTTGTAGAGTTAGGTTCAGTGAAGTTCTGCGTGTGGTAGTCGCACTGCATAACTGCCACTCAGGCGAAACTCCGAATGTATAGCTTTAATTAACAGGTGTCGGTTCTATTGCGGCTCCTGCCCGCAGGTGTGACTGTATGTCTCGTGACAACACGTGACGTGTTTTTCTCTCGCGTAGGTTCGAGGAACATGTCAACAAGCATCACCCTTGCGAGATTCTCTGCGCGAGCGAGTTTCTCGATTTCCGAACCAAGTATCTGGAGACGATCAAGACGGAGGTGAAGGAGGAGGAGGAAGAGGAGCCTCCCGCGTCGCTGACGCTGCCGCCGGGCGAGGACGAGGCCGCTGACGAGGCGATGCCGCCCGGCGAGGAAGCTCCAGTTGCTCCCTCTAGTGACGAGACAACTCCCGCTGTAAAGGTCAAAAGTGCAGAGCAGGTGTGTATGTGTGTGTGTGTGATGCTATTGTCTAGCGGTACCACGCAGGCGAGGTTTGCGTTTGATCAGGCGATATGTCTGTCTGTCTGAAGAGTTTAAAGTGTTAATTTCTATGGCGTTCCAGAGATACGTACTTTAGAATGCTGATGTCGTTGCCGGTGTGTCATGGGGTTGTTTTCCTTGGTGTTTTTGTGTGCAGAACTGGGAAATTTGTGTGTGTCTAGCTATAATTACACAAGTGCTTTTGCAGTTTTCACTATTCCATTAACTCTATCGGCAGCATTGCATATCGTGTAGGATTTACCACTACCAGTTTCCACTACTATTGTTTAAGACAATTGAAGACTCAAAATGATATTATTGCCCTTTGCATCACCAGTGTTATATATATATAACTGAGGCTTCTAACACATGATACATGTCACATTGTCACATTTAGGGGAACAATGAGGAAGTCGCTAGCCTTCGCAAGATGATCATCGAGTCTAGGTCGGAAATCTTTGAGAAGACGGCCAAGGAAATTCTGAAAAGGAAGCCATTTGAAGATCAGGTACAATTCATATCATATCTATCAATCAACTATATCTGTAGGCACTATGATTTATTGAAATGGAGGACTAGATTCGACAAGTCAGTTTTTAGTACATTTGATTTGATAGTGCCACCTGAGACTATATTCGCTTAAAAATTTAACTGTGATCACCCGTGTTTGTGTGAACATAGTTACTTTGTACTTTAATAGTTACATAGTAATTGCCAAGTTGAGTGCGTTTGAATGCGAACCATGCAAGCTGCAAACAAAATTTTCGTGGTTTCGTCTATTCGTTTGCAATTCACTCACAAGAAATTTTCTTTCCATACAGATAAAACGCCCTTACTTTCACGTGAAACCGCTGGAACGAAATCAGCTGAAAGTCTGGCGCGAGTACCTCGATTTCGAGATCGAAAATGGCACCCACGAGAGTGTCGTAACGCTGTTTGATCGCTGTGTCATCGCGTGCGCCCTCTACGAAGACTTTTGGATGAAGGTATTTCTATGTGCGCTGCTACTGTGGCCGCATAGTCTTGTTTACATGTCTGGTTGCTGATTTATGGCTGCACCCGTGTGCGGGTGTATAGGAAATTTTACATGTGCGCGCAGTGATACTATGAGGAAGAACCTTAAAAAAACAACTGCCGTGTAGTAATATTGCCTGTAAGCAGTATTATGGATGGGTGAGTAAGTAACAATAATATAGTTATGGAATGCGGTTATGGTGCATTTCAAAATATGTCTATGCACATTTGCACTTGATAATTTCATTGCATAATAATGTTTTTCTACAGATAACACTAATGGAAATTATGGAATGCTTGTTTATTCCAACCCTTGACATGTATCGTTATTATTAATACTTTTAGGGTGTTATCTCTCATGTGTGAAATAATGGAGACTGTTTGGTTTCAGTATGCAAAGTACATGGAGAGTAAAAGCTTGGACGCGGTGCGGGAGATCTATCGAAGGGGGTGTATGATACATCTACCAAAGAAACTGAACATTCATCTCACTTGGGCTCTCTTTGAGGAGATTCACGGTAACTAACCAGTTACCCCTGTGTAATTGGGGCGTATTTGTCCTGTGCATATCTATATGTATCTAACGTGCGTCTACCTCATTATTTCGCTGATTTAACGATGTACTTTTTTCTTATAAAATGCCTCTAAAATGCACCATGAGCTAAAGTTTCGGTAGGTGATGGGAAGAGTGGTTCATGGTATCCACTTGACTGTCTGCCTTGCAAGACTAAACACAACCATAATGCGTTAGCAGTTATTCTTGGAATGTCATAAGTTTTACGTGTATCATTATATTATACACGTCTCTTGTCGTCGTGCTTGTCGAACTACGGGGGCGCCATGTGCGTGCTGGAGCACATCGACCTACCGTGTCGCATTTTGCCACAATACGTCCTCTTGGCTCGCCGTAGCTCGTTCTATTGTTTTCCTCGTCACGTGCGTGGCAGGTAACTACGAGGGCGCCACACGCGTGCTGGAGCACATCGACCTACCGTGTCGCATTTTGCAACAATACGTTCTCGTCTCGCCGTAACACGTTCTATTGTTTTCCTCGTCGCGTGCGCGGCAGGTAACTACGAGGGCGCCACGCGCGTGCTGGAGAACATAGAGCGGCGGCAGCCGGACCTTCTCGTCGTGCCGCTGCGGCGTATCTCGCTCGAGCGGCGGCTGCAGCACCATCGCTCCGTCGAGGAGCTCTACCAGAAGTACATGGGCAACGCTCCGAACCCGCAGGCAGAGGCCTTCTTTGCCGTGCGCTTTGCTCGCTACTATCTCAAGGTGAGCAGGTGTGTTGTGTGTGTGTGCGTGCGTGCGTGCGTGCGTGCGTGCGTGCGTGCGTGCGTGCGTGCGTGCGTGCGTGCGTGCGTGCACGACATTTTACGACACGACACTGCAATCCGTCGTTTTCATTATTCAATCGAAATTTTGTGAGCAGTTAAATCTCGCCAACTCTATTCGCCACTTAGTGTAATAAAATCGCCACTGTTATTTATTTATCGCATTTTGCAAACTGTCTTCATGGAAACTTTTTGAGCCACTTGCCCTAGGGCAAGTATTCTATAAAATGTACATGCCCAAATGACATTCTAGTTGCCCATATATTTTGCAGGAATATTTTTGGAATATCGAGTAAAGAAGTGCACACCAGACAACTTCTAGACGCATTTTGTTTCCGGTGTTAACACTTCATGATTTTAAATTAAAAACTCCTAGTTAATGGGCAATTTCATTATATTTTTTTTGTTTTATGCGATTTTAAAGCAGGAGTTCGTCTGGCAAGTAAGCTTGCAATGTTTACATGCCCGCCGAGATTTCTACACGTCTTGGGCGTCGGACGCCCGGCTAAATTCGAAGACCTGTGCGTGTGTCGAGTGCATTTGTTGACCGTCCGATCCTCACCGCACTCGTCTTGCAGGTAATGCAGAACGCATTCAAGGCGAAGGAGGTGCTTCGCGCGACGCTGAGCAGCGGCAACACGAGCGTGCGCATCTACCAGCAGCTGCTCGACACGGCGATGCAGACGCAGCCTCCGGACGAGGAGCTCGCTCTCGACACGTTCGAGTCGGTGATGCACGACGAAGCCATATCGAAGGAGGAGAAGCTGCGCTTCTCGGAGCGACGCCTCGAGTTCGTCGAAGAGTTCTCCGCCAACATATCGAAGTACGACGCGGGGCGAGCGCGGGGTGGGGTGGTCGCTTGTCGTCGCGCGTTGTGATCGCGGAGGTCGCAGGGGGATGTTCACTTGTTGCGTGACGTTCGCTTGTTGGGCGTTGTGTTCGAGACATTCGGGGAGATGTTCACTTGTTGACACGCATTGTGGTGGAATTCTGCGCGTGCGGGTTGCGGCATGGCAGTCGGGAAATGTTGTTGGGAGTTGTCGTAGCGTCGGTTTGTGTGTGAAGCAAATGTGTGGTCGTACATGCCGATAATACTCATGTTGCTTACGATTGGTTTACGTTTCGTGATATGTGACTGGTATTGTGTACCTCTTCTCGTTTTTGTTGTTGTTTTTTTAAGATTTGTGCGCACTCCTAAGCATTTGTAAGAGTTTTTCCTTGTAAATCGGGGTATTACGATATTTGCTTGCAGTCTGTTGCACAGGCAGGCCGATGGCTGGTGTTTGTCTAACGTGCTGGGTAGGTGCATGCAAGTCTGACGGATAATTGTAGAGGTGGGTTATACATTTACACCTGTTCTTTCATTGCAGAATTGTTGACTTCTATGAGGAACATAAGAAGCTAGAAAAGGTTGTAAATGACTTGACCAAAAAGAGAGGAGCTAGCAGGTGAGATTCAACTCCCTTACGGCAACAAGACCGTGTTCATAATTTTGTAAATATCTAACGATATTGAGCAGTAAAGGTAGAAATCATCTGTATATCTATAGTCTAATAGCATTTCATCCCTGTAATCGAGTGTGGTTAATTATCCCTACGATCATTGAAATTTAAGTCATGTTAGATCCCATTTTCGATGAATACTCACACGATCATCAATGTTCAAGTCGTGTTAAATCCCATTTTTAGCTCGCCTTGACATCGTCAAGATGAGCTATTGCCATGGGGTGTCGTACGTCCGTCCGTCCGTCCGTCAACATTTGGCTACGGTCAACGATAACTCAAGAACCGTTTGACCCACATGTTTCAAATTGTATGAGGTTGTCACTCCTATGGGAGAGGTTTGAACGTCCTATTTTGGAGCACGCCAGTTGAGCTACATTCGAGCCACGTCCACTTTTTGGCAAAAATGGAAATGGCCATCTAAAGTCATTCGATTTTGTTAAATTTTGGTATGCGAATGTGTAAGGCTAGTCCCAAAACAGCTGTTACTCCTATGGGAGAGATGACAACGTCCTATTACGTTTATTTCGTCTAACTGGTCAACAACTCTACAATCATACCTATATATGTGTAATATTGTGTTTTAGATTCTTCGTTACACTAATTTGACTCGAATATTTTATTATTTTTATTTGCGCGATATTCGAAAACCAAAATGGCGATCATTTAGGCGTAGCACCATCTCTCGACAAGATTTCAGACTTTCAGATCTGAAACATTTATTTTCGCATGAAAACTTATGCATATATATCATTATCAAGAGTATATAATGGGAGTTCTCCCATATATCTTGCTTTATATGTCCCCCCTCCCTCTTCCATCACACCCAAGGTGAGCTACAGTGTCATTGACACTTTCATTGATGAATGCTACCATGTTTTACCCCGATACTTGGTGATTACACCCACGATAATCAACGTGTAAGCCTCCTCACACTCCGCCTTTGCCGTTCTAGCGCGGAGACGCCTCCAGCGAAGAAGACGAAGACGGATGTGATGCCGACGACTAGTAACGGGGGCGCCCGCCAGCCGCCGTACTACCCGCCCAGCAACCCGCCGCCGCAGCAGCAGCCGCCGCCGACATCGACGCACGACACGTCCAACCAGTACAACGCCTACAACGCGTGGGCCAACTACAATCAGCAGGTACGTGAGCAAGGGGGACGCAGGCGCGTGCAAACGCGGTCGCGGCGTCTTTGGAGTCGGCGCGAGGCTTGTTTCAAGTTGGTGCGCGGCAAACAGGTGTCAGCGTTTCGCGATGCGTAATGATATTTCGGAAGAGTAAAGATAAGTTACTTGACGTACTGTTGTAGCATTGAGAGTAACGTGACACAACGAATTCGGAGGGATGGTTTAAGGATGGAGGGATATTACATTATTATTTTGGGTATTTTTTTGGGGGGAAACAAGTATAAAAGTAACGATGCCCAGAAAATGGCAACGTGGATAAGGGTAAGGCTAAGAACACGATCCAACAGTCGTATACATACTATCTGCACTTATTTTTGGACTACATTTAGTTTGTGTAGACTGAAACTATCTAAATGAGGTTTTAAAGTGCAGGAATGCCATTTCAATAGCATCTTTGGTTCAACGTTCACGTCCCCATTTCAGGCCTATGGCTATAATCAGGGCTACAATCAAGGCTACAGTCAGCCGACCTCTGGATACAGTGGCCAGCAAAACTATAACCAACCACCGCCGGGATATGGATACAGCGGGCAGCCGTACGGGGGCAGTTACTACGGACAGTAACCACGGCAATGCAGATGGCAACAGTAACGTGTGGTAGTTAACGGGAAAGCCGTTACGATGTTTCTCGCTCTTTTATTTAGCCCTCGATAGTTTTACGATCTGAGTGACCGTTTGCCATTTACTTAATGTTGTGTAAATGGGAAGAGCGGAGAGTACTGTCAGACTTTAATTTGGGCAACAATTTTATACCAGCTCCGACCTGTTTGAAGGTGCACCAATTTTTCCCCGATTTTTGGTTGGAATTCTATACTTGGGGAATTAGAACATGGAAATATTGACACACAACTAATATCGTGTGATATATTTTTCGTGGTAAATATTCCAGTGGAATGCAAACGTCCAGTTTTCTACTGAACTTTGCGTAAAAGCCATAAACTGATGGAACCAACTGCCTCCGGCATATGCATTTCGAGGCAGCCCTCGTGTTTATTATCCCCCTAGGACACTACCTTGACATGGAATACTTTGCATATTGCATTCATTTGTTTACATAGCGAAAGCTCTTTCTGTCATAATTCTTAGGACAGCGAGTAGCAAAATCTCGTTTGAGAATGTGTGCAGACTCACCGGTGTGTTGGATTGGTGTACACCTGTGTGTAAATGTATCGCACTTTGGGGGAGTAACGGGCAGTAAACAACGTTTATTTGCAACGCACTCCACTTTTGTCTTTTACGATTCTGGTTTAGTGAGTAAACGAGATTAATGGAATCCTAAACATTCCAAGTTCTTTGATCATCAAATTAGAACTACAATGTTGTATGATTTTGTAACATGATAGATTTATCCTGATCAGATGCTGTGGATGTAATTCATTCTGATGCACATGAACATCTTGATGTTTGTTGACAGCTGAAATTTGTTTTTAGTAATTCAATTAGAAAATAATATAAATGGTGTTTATGAATCCAGGTCAAAATTTTACAATATACTATCAAGTGAAATGTGACTCATAATAGACAATGCATACTCTCACTGTCATTCTTAATGTCTTTTTAAACTACAATTGCCTCAAATCTCTTGCATTTCAATCAATATCAAAATAGTTTCAGGCAAATATCTTATGTCATAAACTAGTTTATTTCTTGTTTCTTATAATTTACAATATTCAAGACTGTAGGGCTTTAGTCAAATTAGTTACTCCAACAATTGTATTATCACAACTTGTTCAAGTGTAATTCCAGGTAAATAAATGATGCTGATTTGCTAAAATTACATGGCATAATTTTCTTGCATGGAATCTGAATGAATTGTTTCTGGTGGAATCATAAAGTTTGCAATACAACGTCGACGTAAATCATTGTTAAACGAAATAACATGTATAAAATGCCTCTAGATAGTGGCCTGTCATGTTGCTTTTGAATCCGTTATTGGTTCGTATCCCTCAGTTTCCAGTTTTTGCTTGTATTTGTCAAACTTCCATTTTCTGTCAAAGTGGGTAACCTGTAGACAGTTGGAGAACACATGCAAATTTTTTATTGGAGTGCGGTCTCACTCGGATAAATTCACAAAGCTATGCAACAAATATGTCCACGTTGCTATAACGAGCCCCTTGTGTTCTATCATTAGTTTGTGTCCCTTGCTATGTTGTCATTACGTTTCCTTGCTAATTTTTTCTAGCAGCTAGGTGGTCTATTTACATTATGTCGCCAAGATATCCTATTTACAACGCAATCCTCACGATGGATTATTGTTAACAATATTTCTTCCACACCGGCCTGTTTTGCCAGCACCACCACGTAACCATGGTAACGAAGTCCGTATAATGTTGCGTACACCTACCCATGACGCGGGGCACGCCTCCTCATACCCTTTCCGCCACTGTTTGCATTTTCCACTATCTCCGCCGTTTTCGTCGAGACATTTCCAGAAGAGGTCACGTGCGTCCCAGCACTTCTTTCTTTCCGCCTTCAGCGGTGGCGCTGGTTTATCTGACATCTGCAGACATAGAAAGTGAATGCATGGGCACTTTTTTTCGACTCGTAGCAACGGCAGCGTTTGATGAGAGTATAGATGATGTCGAGGAACTTCTAAAGGTAGTGTTTAACAATGGCCATAGAATACGCTACCGTGAGACGGCGTGAATAAAGGAACTTTGCACAGTGGAGAGATAGTGATCCGCTAGGGGACAGCTCTGATTGGCTAATTTTGTCTCTTATTTATTTTATTTTTTATTATTTTTGGCTAATTTTGTTTTATTTTAGAATTAGGGGAAGGGTTAACTGATTTCTATATCCACCACTTATTTCTATATTCACTATCTCTCCCCTGAGACCTACTAAAATGAAAGTGTAAGCGTGTACAAAATCTGAATATAATCTTGGTTTTATATAAAACCTGTTTTTATTTAACAGCAAAACAACATTGTTGGCACATTTCGATATACAAGTATAGAAACTACCGCCAATGATAAAAAGATCATCATTGAATTATACATCACGTCTGATTCACGTACATGTACATGGGTGGTAGTGGGCCTAATAAATTCCTATAGCAGTATAAATTCTTTGTACTATAATAGCGCTATAAATCACTTGTAATAATCAGCTGAATGATCATACCATTGACGTTTCTAATTAGTGATTCATTCTACACAAGGTCTAATCATCATATTTCCATCAATTCATTGATGAGAGACGTACATAGTACCAGATGTCTTTGCAGAGCATTCACCAATAATTAAAATAGAATATAGTTTGTTCATACATAAACACAGTGAAACTGCTGAATAATTAATATATTAATTAATTATAAGACAGAGTCCAAAACACATCAACTTCAATATACAGTTGATTAAACAAACCAATTCTTTAAGGAAAACGTGTGAATACACAAGTATATGTTGTTCCTGCAAACTATGCCTGCAACTTCTAAACGAGCGACTTCGCTGCAATTATTATCATTGTAATGCATACAAAACTACTGCACACTTGCAAATTGTAGCCAAGAGTTCCTTTTTGTAAATATTATATATGAAACTGGGTTTAGTATAATATACTATACTATAATATGGAACTCGCAGTAAATCACATCAAGCTTAAAACAAGTGCTATCTTACATTTATTTTGCTATTTAACAGCTAATAATAATGTTGAGAACCTGCGACTGTTAACATCAACTTCAATCTTATATCTACTGATGATGAGCAAAAACAGCAGAAAACCATTCAGTCGTCATATATGATGTACTCCCATAAGAAAGAAATGTACTTGAAATGGAATGTCTTTTGGTGTCCAGTTTTGCGCATAAATATTTCTAATGCATAGCACTGTTAAGAGAAAGCCTCAGAAAGGTTTCTAAAAGAATGTGAAGAGCAAAAAATGAAATGAGTCACTACCAAGAGGTATACATTATTTTTAACAATAAATATATGTAATCGATATCTCGGCTGGAGTCACCATAAAGCATTCCGTTCAAATAATTATAATATAACACCTCTTATTATTTACTAGGGGTTTAAATATATCACGACTCATTCTTAAATATACATGATTGCTAAAAGATGACATCTCTGAAACGCTCACTGTATCTACTACAATTTCCAGAAAAGGAAATTTAATGCATATTGTGCTAGTTACTGCATACCTAATTGATTAGATTACAAACCCATGCAAACAAGTAAAAACTAGAAACGAGCAGTTGTCGCCAACTACATGTATCCCCCGTGATCTAGTATGAATGGAATATCTCTGTAAGGACGTAGAAGGCAGGTAAAGTTAAATAAGTCACAAAGACAAAGGTTTGTTAGACAACTGGTCTGCCTCAGATGTGCAAGTATATGGAATCTGGTTACCCTAGGATGCCGAAGAAGAAATGTAAGTCGACGGCCAAGGTCAAACTAAGGTCAAGGGCAGTGGTGGTTTTGGTATGCGACAGACCTTCTCCCCAAGATGTGTAAGCATACCAAGTTTGGTAGCGCTAGGTGAATTAGGGGCCGAGTTACAGAGCGGAAGGGCAATATGATCAAGGTCAAGGTAAAGGTGAAATGAAGGTCGCAGTGACCTGGTTTATGGTACTGTGCACACCTTCTCCCCAAGATGCCAAGGTGCGTTATGGTAAACTGAAGACGCCAATCGTTTTTGGTGGGGGCGGAGTCATCGTTGCCATGGTAACAACATTTTTGTGGAAATATTGTAGAACTTGTAACTTGTGCTGTTTTTACCCGATTGTCATGGAATTTGGCACACACAGGGCCGATATAACATGTCCTATATATATATATATATGTATATATTGGTCCTGTGTGCCAAATTTCATGACAATCGGGTAAAAACTGCAGAAGTTACAGGTTCTAGAAAAAGTTTGTTACCATGGCAACGATGACAACCCACACCAAAAAAGATTGGCGTCTTTGTGATGTTGGTACACTACTGTGCAGTGTCGCCCTCTATGAACTAACATATGAACGCATGAAAAGGGCGCGCAAATCATCATGGCTGAATAAAGGATCGTTTGTCACAAGTCAGTGTCTTTGTTGTCACTCCACTCGTTTATCTTGACAGAAGATGGTGTCAGAAGTGCTGGAAAACAGCATGAACTTTCGTCCAGTATAGTTTTCGTATTTTCATCGAAGGAAAATGGCTTGCGGTGGTGTTCCGTTCCCGGAAAAATTCGATCTTTCGGATGCCAATCAAAATCGTGCTCAAGATTGGGAACTGTTTGAACAGGTATGGACGAACTATACACTTTGTTCAGGACTTTTCAAAGAGAAAAGATGCGAAAATACGACCGCAACCCTGGTGCCATGCCTTCTCCAAAGAGCGCTCTGAAGGCCTATACACTCGCTGACTTTTGGGCCGACAGAGACAAAACTGACATACACAAACGGTCATGGAGAAAATGAAAACTCTCTGTGTTGGAACGAAAGAACGGAGACCTACGAACATTACCTTTTCACCTTCGGGTGCAGAAACGCAGGTGAGAAGGTAATGACTTTCTATTTTGAGTTAAGCTCAAGCTTTCTGGAGAAACTGGTAATTTGGTACATTGAAGATTCTCCTCATTAGAGGGATAGCTCTCATGGTATCAGGGATTCGCTGGCTCAGAAAAACTGTTGTATGAAAAACGAAACTCCACGTTGGAAAAGCACTTCTCGCTGTGCCGGTCATATGAAGCCACGGTCTCTATACTTCAAGAAAATCGCGGAAAGCTGCGTCCCAGTCCTGCTCAAGGCGCTCGCTGCAGATGTGGGGTGCAGTCGAGGAGGAAGCCATTCAAGAAGGCAATCGAAGCACATGACCGAAGAGGGGGAAGAAAACGGTGGTTTCATCATATTCCATGGTAGTCGCAGCGCCAGCGTGGTGATCCTTGCCAATACTGTGGAAGAGGGCCCCAACGATCGAAAGTTTTTGTCCAAGCTAGAGAAAAAACTGTTCCAAGTGCGGGTCACAAGGGACATTTTGGTCATCTGTGGCCGAAAAATGTGTAGCAGTCTCAGTCGAATGCGCATGGGCGTACATGAAGTCACTCAATCTGACTTCTTTGGAATCGATGCTTGATCAGGGCGATGCATTTCTCGGCGTGTGGATCAGCAGGGTTATAATTCCGATCCGATCAGTGGATTGTGACTTTGACGTAGATTGGCGCTCATACGATCAGTTTGTGTCGATACCTGTGGCAGATGTAAAACGTTATATCCTAGGTGCGTGTGAGAGCGACGAGAAACATTTCAAAGGAGCCATAGACGAATGCTGTTCCTACTCGCAGGACGCTCAGAGGTCTAGCAGGAAGCCATTGCCACTCTCGTACTTTCCAGTGCACCCATTCGACGTAGCAAGGAGAAAACCCTGTGCAGACAAAATTTACGTCATGTGGTGTGCCTCTGCGGCTAACTAAGCCGCTCACTAAGTTGTGATCCTGACTAAGTGCAACTTCATGTGTCAGTAATCGACCGACTACCCTCAGCTTTTCAAGGGGCTTGGGAGAAATGCCAGCATCCAATACAAGATCAACATGCGCAGAGGGCGGACACCATTCGCAGTTCCCGCGTACCTCGACGTGTGCTATTCCGCTAATGGCTAAGGGGAAGGACATTGGATTGCGGCTTGGAAATCTATAGGGTGTCAGTACTCAAAGTGACACAGCCACATGACTGGTGTGCGCGCTATAGGTGGTGGTTCCAAAGCGTATATGGTAGCATCAGGGTTGCTGGATTTCACGAAACTCAATGATCGTAATTACGTGAGCATCCCAGTTGCCCACCGTCGACCATGTCCTTGTCAATGGCAGGTGCGGAAGTGTTCTCGAAATTGACGCTTAACAGGGGGTTTATCTCAGATCAATTGGCCGACGAGGAGTCTCACCTTCTTACTAGTTTCATACTCCATTTGGTCGTTACTGTTAACCAGCGTTTGCCATTCGGGACTAAACTCCGGACCAGAACATTATCAGTGTCAAATACATAGGATTCTACGTGACTCGTTTGTATGCAATCTGGATGACTTTGTAGTGTTTGAGAACCGGGTGAAGTAAATGACGATCCACCTGAGAAAGTTCTTTACAGAAGCTAGCCGAAGCGGGGTCACACCTTAAATCGTGCCAAGTGTGTCCTTCAGAGTTTCGCGAAATACCTTTTGCGGGTCAACGTAGTCGGCAACAGTGTATCAAAGGTAGACCTAGTAAAGTCAAGCTAACTCCAAGCTGCCTAGACCACCTAATGTCCAGGACTGCCGAAGATTTATGGACATGGTGAATCATCTGGGGAATTTCTCCCAGACCTCGCGACACACACGGATCTGCTGCATACAGGTGTTATCTTGTGAAGACTGACTGGGTTTGGGTCCGGCTGGCAGGAGAAAATGCTTTTTCGAAGACGTCAAGGAGCTGATCTCGTGCTGCGGCAGTGGCTCATAGCTCGTATATCCTTCTCGCAAGATACGCGTCACTGCGACAGTTCCCTCATATGGACTCGGGCTGTCTATCAAGGACTGCAAAAGGACTCGGACGATCAGTGGAAGACCGTGGCCTTCGCATCTAGATCACTCGCTCCGCAGCAGAAACCAGCAAACCACAGATCGAGAAGGAAGCGTTGGCTCACCTGGCATCTGTCGTCGAGGCATCTGAATTGGGCTCCGTTTCACGCTTGAGATGGACGAGAAGCCGCTCATTTCGCTACTCGGATCGAATCTCTGGAAGAAACTGCCGCACGCGTATTAGCAGCGTATGGCCGTATGCGAAATCATGCGATTCTTCGCTATGATATCGAGTAATGTGCCTGAAACAAGCGCTATATCGCGACCACTCTGTTCACGTGCGAACGACCACAACCTGCCAAGGAAGGCAAGGATTACGATCTTTGTGAGAGACCACGCGTATGATAACCTCGTGGATTGACAACGTGGCCGTGCTACGACCGTGTCACGGCAGGGTGCCATCGCGCTAGCCTGCGACAGATTCGTGAACATCAGTTGGCAGGACGAGCTATGCCCGGCAACTGACGTACGTACGTGGAAAATGGTTGGCCTGCCAAGTGCCAACTGACTTCATTATGCTGGCCAGCAATACTGGGCTTAACCAGGCAGATCTGACCAATTCGTTCAAGGTCTACTACTGTATCGCTCTCTCCGGCATCTCGTGCCCTCATCCCTTCGTCTGGAGATGTTGGATCTCCGCAACAAAAGGGCATCAAAAAGGGATTGTGAATGCCGCCAGTAACTCTACAGTCGGTTTTTGGTGGCCGGGGCATTTCCCGTCAAAATCGAGACCTTGTGAAAAATTGTCACGTTTTGTAAGCAAAGCTAAGCCGAAATCCGAGTGGAGAGCCCGCTTCTCCCTCCGTTATGCCTACCAGGCCCCTTGCAAAAAGTCGCGACGGACTGTACGAATTCAGAAAGATCAGTATCTGATAGTCAAGTTGATTACTACTCGCGATTCATAGAGGTGGCGCGACTCACACAGATTGACCAGTCAGACTACGGTCACTCCATCTCAATCGTTCTTTGCTAGCAGGGGTTTCCCGGCAGACTCTATGAGTGAGTAATGGTGGCCCAGGTACACTGCCAGATGAGTTTCTAGATTCGCACGCGACTACGGGTTCCAGCATGTTAACCATGAAAGTCCTCACCATTCTTCAGGAAATGCGGGCAGGTAAGAGAGAGCGTAAGAACGCTGCAAAGGTCTGGCTTCAGTTCCGCTGCAGATCCCTACGCGGCGTTGCTGTGCTATCGTAGCACACCTCTAGCTTGCGGGTTTAGCCCAGCTGAACTCTTGTACAATCGTCGTATCAGGACCAAAATTCCTATGGTTCCTGAGAAGCTGCTACCAGCTGTTCCTGATCCCGTTGTTCTCCGTGGAAAGGAAGAGCATATCCGGATGCAGTCGAAAATCAACTTCGACAGGTCTCATCGTGCTAGAGATCTCCCTTCGTTGGAAGAAGGCCAAGAAGTCTACCTGCCAGGTCGTCAGGAGACGGGAGTCGTCGACAACAAGGTGCATGATCGGTCTTACGTGGTGAACACACCTACAGGACAATTCAGGAGAAATCGAGTCCAGATCAATAAGCTACCAGAGACAGACTCCCCGGACTCTCCGCCTCCAAGGTTGGAATCGCCTCCAGCATGGGAGAGGAAACCTGCTAGTGGTGGCTCTAGTGTCGCAAGGGAGCCTCCCACGTATGTTACAAGGTCTGGCCGTGTATCAAAGCCAAACCCAAGATATGCAGACACCTAAACTTTTGCGTTTTGGGTCTGCATTGCAAGCTTAGTATGAGTGTAGGCGGATCGCTGCTCATTGCTTGCAGAGTCACAACCGGTGACTCTAGTGTTATATAGATTCAAGGCAGGACAGGTTACTAGCCTTTCTATTCAGAGTTCATGGCAGTTATATTTTGCCAGGTTTACATTAGTCCTCGGGTTTTGGACTTATTATTCTACTCTTAGCCTCACTTAGTACAGACGTTGCTAAGAACTGAACTAACACCAAGTTATATGAGGCTTGTTTGTTTTCAACAGATTCAATTCATTATGATGCTCAAAATGAGTGAGACCACATTTAGTTGAAAAGTTAACAGTTGGTTTATTCGGAAGTATATATGTGATTCAATCGAAAGATTTCAATACAGTCTCCCATTCATCTCAAAGACTCAGTGACTGTCTATCAATCTTAAAGAAAGGGAGATGTGATGTTGGTACACTACTGTGCAGTGTCGCCCTCTATGAACTAACATATGAACGCATGAAAAGGGCGCGCAAATCATCATGGCTGAATAAAGGATCGTTTGTCACAAGTCAGTGTCTTTGTTGTCACTCCACTCGTTTATCTTGACAAAAGAGTCTTCGCTTTACGATAACGCACCTTCATGCGAAATTTGAAGAAGAACTGCAGCCGGTAGAGCGCTCACAGGGAAATCTCTGCGGCGGCGGTGGTGCGACGAGGCCAAATCCATAGTATCCCCCCGAACTCGTTCGGGTGATACAACTATACCACACCTAATATTCACATTTCTATATGTGAATAAATTCCGTGCAGCACTATAAAAACCCATTCAGCAAAATCCTAAAGCAATTCCCCTCAAGGCAATTCCTATATACCTAAGTACATGGACATTTATTACATAATAACAGCCTCTACTCTAGCAACCTTGAATGATATATTATTGTATCCCCCGAACGAGTTCGGGGGGATACTATGGATTTGGCCTCGTCACGCCGCCGTCGCCGCAGAGATTTCCTTGTGAGCGCTCTACCGGCTGCAGTTCTTCTCGGATCATCTTAAAATTTCGCATAAAGGTGCGTTATCGTAAAGCGAAGACGCCAATCGTTTTTGGTGTGGGCGGAGTCATCAGTTCCATGGTAACAACATTTTTTGTCGAAATATTCTAGAACCTGTAACTTCTGGAGTTTTTACCCGATTGTCATGAAATTTGGCACACAGGACCAATATATATATATATAGGACATGTTATATTCCAAATTCCATGACAATCGGGTAAAAACAGCACAAGTTACAGGTTCTACAATATTTCCACAAAAATGTTGTTACCATGCCAACGATGACTCCGCCCACACCAAAAACGATTGGCGTCTTCGCTTTACCATAACGCACTTTCATGCCAAATTTGAAGATGATCCGAGATCGGGTAAAAACTGCAAAAGCTAAAGGAAAATGAAATTATTAAATGAAATTATGGCACCTTTCATGCAAATGCATAATTAGATGCAAAAGCATTGCAATATGGATAAGTAGTTCCAACAATATTTCCTGCTTGTCAGTGTAATGGAGGCATATATTTGTATATATATATATATACCATATTACCCGCCGTCCAGATGGGTTTAACCAGATTCCATATACTTGCACATCTGAGGCAGACCAGTTGTCTAACAAACCTTTGTCTTTGGGACTTATTTAACTTTACCTGCCTTCTACGTCCTTACAGAGATATTCCATTCATACTAGATCACGGGGGATACATGTAGTTGGCGACAACTGCTCATTTCTAGTTTGTTTTATGCATTCAGTCTCAACATAATGTATTGAATGCATTGAAGAGGCACTCACTGAAAGAGCAAACCTGCGTAAATGGAAATAAGTGGTCGTGTATTCACCAATATAAAACCATTCTAGTAATGGTAAAAACATACGTTTCGTATTAGATTATATAGATTATATCTATATAATATATTTATCTATAACTATATAATAAACTGGTTACCCAGTTGAGTTATAATGAGATACTGTGGGCATGCACAGTTGGCTTAGATGCCTACCAGGTCACTGTCTAGAAACGACCTGACCAAATTAGGTTATTAAGTTCCGCTCCGCACACTTGCCACAATTGATTTTATTTTCAAAGCTAACGTTCAGTTAAAGTGTAGCGGGTTAATTACTGACGTCTTTACAGTGGTTTGTTACACAAATTTACGTCGAAAGGTCGAGGGAAGCTATACCTTTAATAACCGAGTTATTTATCTACTTTACCAGCATTAGAAAATAACCCAGCTAGGAAGCAACCTTCCCAACCAGACGTAGGTTTCATAGTCGATTACTTACGAAGACGTTTTTCCAGTAATAAATTAATGGGGACCATTGCTAAATATAATCGTCATCGTCCTTTCCTGTCAGGCTATGCATCAACTTGCGACTATATTCAACGGTTATGAACAAGGCTCCGGTGGCTGGAAAGGTACGTAGTAACGTCGGACCCAGGCCCCTGTACATGTCTCTCACGCCAGGAAGTCCTCGCTTGAGGTACGACATCAGAACTGTTACGAATCGCGTGTCGTCTGTCAGAACCTGCATCCTCGACTTGATCAGGTCGAACGGATAGATGCTCAGCCAGAGGCACCAGCCGCCGATGCCGCCGCACACTCCCAGCCTGAACACGCTCAGGTCGTCCTTCGTCTTGCCGGGCGGCGTCATCAACGTCCTAGAAACCTCGTAGCCACCGAAGAAGAAGAAGTAGCCAGGCATCTCGCGTATCATCGTGCTCGTCAGGCCGCGGAAGAATCCGCGCGCGCCCTCCTCGCGGAAGACGCTCTTGCAGACGCCGTACGGATTTACGCGCGCGTGCGCGGGGACGGCGCCGCCGGCGTACTGACTGCGCAGAATCTCCTCGTGCGCCTGCATCTTGCACTTGACGAGTTCGGTCGGGCAGAGCACGAGCGCCGAGAAGAACGCGGCGAGAAAGCCCGCGCACGCGTTGTCGAGATCGGTGAGCTCGCGCGCGCTCGGCTTGCCGATCATGGATGCCGTCGCCTTCTGGCAGAAGCCGTACGCGAAGAAGAGCACCGAGTTCTCGCCGACGTTGGCGGCGAGCGACGGCACGGTGCCGGCATAGAGGCCGCGCAGGCCCTGCGCGCGCGCCGTCTGCACGAAGCAGACGTACGCGTTGCGGTACAGCTGCGGAAACGTCTGCAGCTTCACCTTGACCGTGTCGAGCGGCTGGCCGACGTAGACGGTGGCGGCGCCCCCTAGTGCTCCCGCGACGAGGTCGATCGGGCCATCCCAGAATGTCGGGCTGAGCCACTGCGCGGACTGCGGCCGCTCGGCGGAGTCCTGCGGCGTGTCATGCCTGTAATGGTGTTCCATCGCGTGTGTCCACGCTTGCCATTCTTCGAAAAGCACCATGGTCGCAGCCGACACGCTACGGCTACAACGATACCTATTGCAAACGAATGCCTTTATGTTCATGCATGTGCAGTCGTGAGAAATGCAATCATAAATTTATTTACAGGGTTGTTACCTAACCATATGTAGTGGGCACGCCCAGGTTACCAGGTAGATTGATGTAGACATTCACAGAGAATTTATACTATCATAAATTTATATTTATTACTATTATATTATTATAGGGCCAGGCCCATTACTGAACAACATCTCAAGCAAGCCTATACAGATTCATTGACATATCAGCCAGTAATGTGAAACAACACTCCCAAATGCTAGAGAATGTGGATCTTGATTTAGAAATGCACGGTATATCCTTAGCACTAGTCCACGAATACTGATAAAGCAGCTCATGAACACGTTTTCTAGCGGCCAAGCCGGGCAACGCGTATGCAGGGGTGTTGTAGTCGCTGGAGAATTTCGGCTGCCAGACAACTGTGCGCTGTAGCTACTAACACTTCATTGCGTAAAAGAAATATTTGTTGCATTACAATAATTGAGTTACAAATAAAAAAAGTACTGAGGAATATAAGCATGAATGCTATGTACATATAGCGGAATACATCTAGGTTCGTGGTGCAAGTCATTGATGCACACAATGAACTTAGTCAGGGCGAGTCTTTAGCCAATAACGGTCAATGAATTTTACACTAACCTCGCACTATACAGCCATAAGAATCTGATGTGAACTACGAGCAAATCCTTGTTTTGTTCGCATTCCATAAGTTTTCCTACAATCGGGGTCACATTTGGGGCGAGGGGGTCTGCCCACTAGCATTAGTGCTCAGTTATATCACTGCGTATTAGTAAGTCAAACATGACACCAGTCTAGTTCTAGACCAACTCGTCACTGGCAACAATATGGGAGTGAGGTCACTAAAAAGTTCAAACCAGGTTTCTACCACGGCTGCAATGGGGTTACTCGGGACTACATGATCCATGTGGCCCTACACCAGGTACACACCCAATTAATATGCAAAAACATATACAGAGTGCAGAAAACTTAATCAGGGTGGATAAATTTCTAGATGACATCATTGGAAGAAACCAGCTTCTATGAAATTTTTGGCTTAGTTGTGGGTGTGCTATAATATGTAGATCAAGACTAAGCGAAGGACAGGGTACATGTGCAATTGGCTGTATATTACAAAATAAAACAGCAACAGCAAATATCGTAGTTGTTTCCACAAACTGCGATGGAGTTGTTCAATTGCTACACGTGGCTTTTTTGTACAAACAGAAGACGTTTTTACTTACTAGAAATGGCAGCGGTGTTTCTACTGTAGTGAAATCTTGTTCTTCTGTAGGCTACACGATGTTTTTCGGGGTAATTGCCTTAGGGAGTTGTGGAAGCGTAATCAGGTTCTGATGGTGATCAGGTGACAGGACAGACTCACCCTGAAATATTGCTTCAAATGCTTCATTTTGACATTCCACAGCATTAGCAGAGAGGTAGAGAAAGAAACTGGAGAGAAGCGATAGAGATATCGGATGGAGAGAGGATCGAGAGACCAAGTGAGTGGGACGAAGAGAGGTGGACAAATTGATTAGGAGGGAGATCGAGAGAGGGGGCACAACGTGAGTGGGATGGAGAGAGGGGGACCAATAGGGTGGGATGAACAGGGAGGGGGACGAAGTGAGTAAATAAAATGAATGCATTCGTTAGCCTAGTTTTCCACTTTTAAAACTTCTTTAACCAATTTGGCAGTGCATTAAGCTAGTTGGGAGTAGGTAGTCATTCAGTGGTTGCCGGTATGCGGTATTACCATACGAAGTGGCTATATGCCCGGCAGCCGGGCACGGTCTTCGATTTCCTAAATGCCCGGCAGTTTTTAATTTTCGGTGATTTCTCAAGTAAACAGTGTACTACGTACGTGATCCAAAGTATTCTACATTTGTTTAGAAATGTCAAGCGATTTTCGTTAGAGCTGTATATTCGAACTAGCCCAATTCTCCTACCTTCGGATCACTGAGCGAACTAACTCGCAATCGACACTTCGAAAATATCCAACGGCTTCCGGGCACGGTCTTCGATTTCCTAAATGCCCGGCAGTTTTTAATTTTCGGTGATTTCTCAAGTAAACAGGAGGGTTAGGGTTAGGGTTAGGGTGCCGGCTGCCGGGCATATAGCTATAGCAACATATGGGTATTACACATTCAGACGATACCTGTAAATGACAAACTTGACACAGTGACAGTGTCAGTGCATGAAGGTTTATTGTGGATATATTGTTACATGCCATATTTACAGAACTATCGCCGTGGCACTGGGTACTGCGGTAGCCGTAAGTCTCTAACACATACTCTTACTAAGTACAGTCTTCAAAGTTTTAGCGTTTTAGATGGGGCTATTCTAAAAGGACGTGGATATTCGTCCGAGCATCGGACACCTGTTCGTATGCGCTATTCGTCCGAGCAGTTGCTGCGCATGCGCTGTTCATGTTGTATTACATAAATGTAATATAATGCTAGTCTAGGGAGTCGCCTACTCTCCAACCTAACTCTAATACTAACCACACCACTAATTATTTAACTCTAACCTAACTCTAGTACTAACCACAATCTAAACCTACCACTAATTATTAACCGACTCGGTTGGCTTAGATAGGCAACCTGCCTCGACGTACAAACCTATCTATGGTGTATAACCACATTACGCAACGCATGTATGCAGGGCGCAGTAACAGCTTATTTATTATTAGGGTGGCGTAGCAAAACGCAGAAGTTTAACTAATAATAAAATTTAGGAGCGTCCAGATGAGACGGGATACTAGAGAAGCGTTGCCAAAGGAGATGTTGATCCGAAGCGCTTAAGCGCAAATCTTGCGCGCAGTTCCGCGCAAGGCGCACGCGACCGCGGAACGTCCTACGACGTACAGTATGCAGCGCTGGCAGCTATGGATCCGTGCGCCGAATGAATTGGCCAGCGCACGGATCATAGCTGCCAGCGAACAGTCCGCATTTAGTGGGGACACAGAGGTAGACATTTGGACGTGAACAGTGTTCACTTGTTAAAAAAATAATTTCTCTCTTCGTAACGAGCTGTGTGACGCGAAATCACAGAAAGCTGCGAAATTCTCGCGTTCGCGAACCTTGCCCAGTAATGGAAATGGCTGCAAGGACAAAGGCTATATATAGACTGGGACTCGCTCCCACCTCGATTACCCATCGAGTGACTAAGCTAAGCCGAGAACACGTAGCAATACATGGACAAACGCGCACAAACACATACATCGCAATGAACAATACATCGCAACGAACAATAATACCATGTGTTACAAAGTCAGAGTTACCACATAGAACTTGATATGCTAAGTAAGTCACTATCTATGACAATAGTATATAACATGCTTAATTACGAGCAGATGTGTCGCACATTCTATATGACAGAACTCCTGGTACAGGCGTGTGGCAGAGCGAAGGGATATAGTTTTAGAGGTATTAAGTGACCTAATACTGGCATATCGAACTATTGTGTAGTATTGACAAAGTTGTGAACACGGTCGTTCGTAGAATCCTAGCATTGCCGATGTAGTAGACTCCAGTGTAGACAGGATTTATAATGGTCGAGTGACATGATGAACATATCTTAAGAATTGATTGCGACGATGGGCAATTACAGTTAAATTAGGAAATTCCGTAAAATATAGTGATCTATAGTTCATGCCAACAATTGAAACTAACTGTTAACAAATACAACATGACAGTTATAACATATAATGGCACAATTAAGACATGGTAAGAATGTATTGTTAGTACGATGCCTCATAAACTGTCTTCTTTCCATGTGTTCTGCTAACAGCTAGTTGAAAAAATGCGACATGAGTTGATGAGTGATTTAATGAAAACACAGAAAGAATGCATACGCAAGAATAGGCGTACTTACCGAATACTTCATAATTTACTAAGGGCATACTTGAGCAGGGGCAAAATGCACTATATAGAAAGTAATACACTATATAACAGTATACTTGCGTCGCTCGCCACCAGAAACGCATGCTAGTTGTGCGCGCACGAACCAACAGTGATCGACGCCTGTAGTTGTCGACGCGCCGCAGAATGAATGCACCCCCCCGGGTCACAGGATATCGCGCGCAGGTCGTATAAGAACCCACTACGCATCTAACCAAGCTAGCCAGATCACATGCGTGTGCTGAGAGGTAGCGTTTTTGCCCCCTCCATCTATTTATCCATTTATTTACAAGTAAACTGCAATTAGCGTCTCGTCGGCGCCAGAGTGGCGGGCGCGCGAGATGAATAATTACACCGGCGGCTTATACCCGCATATAGCCCGCCGACCGGTGTGCAAGCA